ATGGCATATGGCAGAGTTTTCATATGAAGTTTTTATTTGTATATTTTTTGATAAGAATCATTAACTACTAAGATATAGTTCATAGACTCATAGTACCTTATTAGAATTTGAATATTTTGATATATTTTTTTTTCTTATGAAAATATATTGGGCGTCGAGAAGAAATCAAAATATATTAATTMGATTTCATTGTTATATTTTAATTAGATTCGTCTTTGCATCATTATGAGACGAGTTATTTTATATTGATATAGGTTTTGGGGAGTTTTTTCTTGTACTGAGAACTGAGAAGATATATTTAAAAACACCGACATACCCTGTGAAATAAATTTGCACACGCCTATGCAGWGTAAGCCACGCATTTGGTAATAACTGAAAAGAGATGAAATAATTTAAACATTTTTATTTTAACTTATATAGGAATAAAAGTAGTTAAACCACTATATTTATAACTTATTAACTTATTGTCGGTATATTTTGTGGTGTAGTTTTAAGATATAACACTATGTCACTAWACCTAGCTATAATTTATACTGCTATATTTATAASTATTATTACGATAATTAGGTACCTTGCAATAATGCAAATTGCAATTCCATCAGACGCCATGTTTTCACTTAGCAATCGATGTATCTTTACTTTCTATTAAATATAAATTGTCTTAAAAAAATTTTCTTAACATAATTGCCCCTTGTATATTTAGTATTCGCGCACAATATGAAAATTTAACTATTTTATCAAGCYCTTTCCTGRTGCTCCCTAGTGATCTAAAACATGTTCATAAACGTTTTGATCGCATTCCAATTTGACTGCTTCATTATCACAAGGCTGAAATGTTTAAAAGGAAWAGGACTACCACACCAAATAYATATATTATTAGTTATTACCAACTCTATCCTAAACTATTTCATAATTTTAACATTTTTAATTTAAAACATTATAAAATCTTATAATTCATGTAAATCAATATTGTATAGTTTAGATATTGTTCAGTTCACTTTTCACAATAATATATAATAATATGTAAGTTATTAGCGTTATAATAGGTGTGAGCTGTTCTTAAAGGGGCAGCATATGCAGCAAAAACTGCATCTAAATATATTTTGATAGGCGATTGATTGTATCTATATTACTATCCACTATCCAGTAATAAGCAATAACATATTTTACTTATAGATATAGACACATAAGTAATTTTTATTTAGTTTATAGTAATTAATAAGAAAACATTAATGCTATAAAAAAAAAAAAATAGTTATAAGTCTGGTTTATTTATTATACTTATATATTTATTTATAGGTACACATTTTTCAACTCAAATCAATATAAGTACCTACAATGAAAATAAAAATATGACATTATAGTTTTTTGATCAGATTGGTCGTTACTTTAAAATAAATACATTGCACTTTTTTTACCGGACTTAAAGGTAGAATCCCAAATAATAAATGAACTGCAATAGAATATGAGTTATGAAATATATGTAATTAAAAACAAAATACCTATTTAGTTATAATAATATTTTATTAGATTTTACAGTTATTAATACCTTTTGGTGATTTTTATTTTGATATTTTATTTTATTTTTCAACTTTTCAAAATAATCCGGATTGCCTATCAATAAAAAGAAAATTGAGGAAAAATGAGTTTAAACAGAATTCTAAGTTAGTCAATAAAATAGAAATTTAAAAAAAAAGTTAAGCGTAGAGAAGCCACATATATTTTTTGAGCGATTGAATTTAAAATTGTCGACAAAATTGAATATTCAAACGAAAAATAACGATTTAGTTTATTTCGTTAAATGGTTAAATTAGCAAAATACTGAACATGCCGATACGTAAAATTAATTCGTATTTGTTTACATGTTGCACGGTTGCTAAAGGTGGCTGCTGCTGCAGCGACGTCGTTTCAATGCAATAATTATACTCTCGAAGTCTAGAAACTCGCTCGGTCAGACCGGTGTGAAAAAACGCACCGTGATGTTTGCCCCATATCATTATTGACACGGTAATGGTCCATTATCCCGGAGCGGGATAATGTGGGATTTACACTGGTTTGGATCAAAGAATTTGTAGGCTGTTTCACCGCACGACGGAACACCCACCCATGCCGATTGCCGACAGTAGTCCAYTTTTCCGACGCGCTTCGTGTTTCGTGTACTCGTGTCACATAAGCCAGGACGAGTGGCGAGTGGTGAACTCTGGTGACTCACATTCACCAAATTTCAATATTCAATTATTCGGAATGATCAATGAGGCAAACAAAGCTACCTATAGACTATGGACAAAAAGTAAGTTGTCTACTTGTCGCCCCCACCCAGAAAAACAAAACATAAAAATGCGTCATTGACGAGGTATACAGTGTTGCAAAATTAGGTATCACGAAAGAACATTGAAAACAACGCTATCGGGAAAACTATCGATAAATCCGATAGTGCATGGAACTATTATAAAAAAAATTATAAAATAAAGACTGGATGCTATATCGTTTCAAAGTTTCAATGTTTCATTTTTATACGGACAGCATAAAGAGCTACGAAATGGATTGTGTTCATACACATATGCGTTTACAATATTACTCTGTTATGGACTAAATTCAAATGCAATTATTAATATGATTCATGTTGATACATTTAAACGGACCGGAAATCGTTTTCTACGGTAATATTATCAAACCCATATCCGTCTATACTATTTACACAAGCTACGTCGTCGAGAGCATGGTGTTCACAGTCGTCCGAATAATCTCTGAGGGTTCGGGCTGCYCAGGCCATGTCCCCCGAGTCCGAGACAACTGACTTGCTATAATAATCGCCTCGGCACTCCACAGCTATAGTGGTAGTAACAGCAGTCAGYTCGGAATTAAGTAAAAAGAGTTGCTTATTGTGTGCAACTGTGTAACACAATTTCAAACATTCAAACTATGAGTTATGACGTCCATCGTCCATCAAGCCGGGCTGCACGGTCGCGGCACGGATCGTTTATTTTTTCTCCCAAGTGCAGCAACGTACACACTGCACGAGAAACTGATATTGTTATTGCTCTACTCGTCCCACGATAGGCGGATGATAGCGGACGGACGCGTAACACGTCACGGACCGCCGCCACGGCGACGCCATCGCGCCCAACCGGAATCGCGGCGATGTTCTGCTCACGACGTCACGACGCGGTACCTATCGAACGACACGTCTTCCTCGCCGCGCCACAGTCGCCCAGCCATCGATTAATAATAGTAATAATGATATTATTATTAATCATTCCGATTGATGTTTTCCGATATCGTCTCCCGTAATCCGCGGTGTTATTATTACTATTATTATTATTATTATTAATATAGTGCACTATTAACATTATTATTATTATTATTATTATTATTATTACTATTATTATTATCGTTGTACGAGTAGTTGCGGATCACATGGTTTAAGTTCCTCGATAACGGTTATCATTGYCTGTCGTGTCCATTACGGTTGTGTCGCGGTGGTGWAGACGGTGTTGTTGTTGTCTATGCACAAAGCCACAAAGCCCCAGTGTTGTTATTGTCGGATATCGTTGTCGCCGCGTCCGTTCATCAAATTTTGGTTTCCCCATCGCCGGATAGCCGTCGCGCTCGCACGCTCCGTCGTTTCGTCGGATCCGATCGTCGTCGTCGTGCTTTACAAAGTGGTTCACATCGTCAGCGGTTTCTTCATCGGTGACGTCCGTCGTTGGGGCCGCCGCGAACAGCGTCGTTGCCGCGACGATCGTTGGCAGTGTACAACAACTGCAGTCGTTGGGGACACGGACACAACAAGTGGCTGACATCCGGTGCAAGAACCGAAATCCTCACGAAATACGGTTAGACACTATTTGTATTGTACTTCAACGCTATAGTTCTGTAATTAATTGTCGTAGTGATATTGACGTAGACACGTACCCTACGATCTAGGTTTAAAAATATCATAATCAACGTCAAAATTTGATGGGAATGTTTGGCCATGTTACATAGTTTGCATGCACTTGCCTTAACTCTAGTGGTGTTAAGCGATTGAGCAGTGTTAATCTATGTGGGTTCTGGCCGTGCATGGATTGGTTGTATAGATTTAGGCTCTTTATTTTCATTTTCAGGTTGTAGGTGCCCAGTTCTTGGGGWTCTAGTAATCTGTCTATGTCATGTATCAGCAATCACAGTAACGTGAACTGCGTGTCGGCATTACAGAAATTACTCCCTATATATTTTGTCTTATGGTTTTTAGTTTTATCTTAAAACAAATAATTCGTAGTTTTTTCCCTGTGAATATCTCGGTACTATCTACTTATTTTTGATTTTTGGTTCAACTACTTGTGCCTTATATATATATATTAAGCTAACTGGTTTAGTGTATTTAGTTAAGAAACTAAATTTTTTATTTCTCCATAAATAATTAAAAATTATTTAAATAGATTGGTGTATTGGTTGTATTGGTGTACCCATATGATCAATTTAAATTATGTGATTAAAAATAATCCTTATAGTTAGTGGTGACCCATCTACATATTTCCTTCCTGAATAATTATAGACACACTTAACTATAATATACATACACTACCTATACTATAGTAAGTAATATTTTAGATACAATTTTATGATAATATATAATAATTATACATTTTATATGAATATTCAAATAATATAACATAGGTACTAACCCCAGAAGTTCACTAATAGTGGGTCACGACTCATGGCCTAAAACTGGGTCACTAATAAATTCTTAGTGGGTCATGATTTTTTTTTTTTAATATTTAACAATCAGAATTTTAATAAACAAATTATATAGATAGGCATATATATAAAATGTTTTGGAATATTGTTCTACAGTTTAAGTATCAAATATACTTTAGTAAGTACAACATTTTTGTGTTAAATATTCTAATTATCAAGTATTTAAAAATTATAGGTTAGGTGTAACTAATATAACATAAGGTTGTATCTAATACTGTATTAGTGTATCTATCCATATAAAAATATATTATAATGTACTCAATCAAATCTAAATATTTGTTAATTATTATAATAAATTAAAACTTTTGCATTATCCCATTAAACAAATATCAAAATATAATTTAAGATAATATATAAAACAATGTAGTTATGTCAGTAGGTATGAATAATAATATATCAATAAGTAGGTAATAAAAATAAAATATATCTTATTTTAAACATTAAATTAATATTTATTCAATTTTTTGGTGATAACTAAAGTAATTTATCATTCAAATTATTAATTCCTAATACAACATTGATTTTCATTTATCATAAAATTTGTATGCTTAATAGGTAAAATCCACCAAGTACTTGGCTATGATTATTACTTGGAGTAGGTGCCTATATTATAYCCTATTTTTTAGGAATAATGACCTAAACGTAAACCAATATTAATAATTGTGTGAACCAGATTACCAACTGTCAAAATTATTAGATGATTATCGATATTATTGGATGATGATCTTGATTAACAAAAATTATCATGATTATTAATATTTTGCTCTTGTAAAACTTCTCAAATTGTTCTTGTCTTGATCTGCTCTAACCGAGGTAAAAACTAATTACTTTTTACCAATTTGATTTCAATAAACACTTAATAACGTAGACCGGTTCTTACAATGTCCGATTTAAGTGTTAACTGATGGTTAGTGGGATTTTTAAAAGCAGAATTCTGTCGGTTAAGTGTCTGTTGACTTTAACCAGACATTGTAGAACAGCCCTTAGTGTAGGTACCTAGTTATTCATATATAATTGAAGTTAACCAAACCTATCCATAGTAATTTCCGAGGTAATTTCTAAACACCTAAAATTTAGGTCCCAGATAATAAACATTATTTCAATAATAATTGATTTTATCACTCCATCTTTATTACTGATACATTTTGAATTGCTGCAAACCAATACCTTTTTATTCAATCTACTGTTTGTTACTTGTTTTTTATGTATATACTTAAATTAATTTTTGTTAATATACTTTTGAATAATTAATCTTCCAATTAAATTAAATAAATTTGGGCATCTGGGTACCTATTAAGTGGCWAAACAAATCTAAAGTAACTCATAATCAAATCTTTTTTACCTGTTTATTTAGGTAGATTCTAATGATTTTTTTAAAAATATTTTTATTTTAAATGTTTCTATGTAGGTACTCATCGAGGCACTCATGCATATTACAAGTTATTGTATGGTTATTGATTTTTAAAAATTATCTATTCAGTATTTAATGATTATTATTTGTGTCACTAACTATTAATGCAACTAAAAATTGACATTTGATGAACTTTAGGTTGAGTTAACTATTTAAAAAAATCTATGTATAGAAATGTTCTTAATGTTGAATTCAACTTATATTTTCAAAATTTAAATTATAGCACCTACCTATTTAATGGTTAAATAAACAAACAAATAATAAAAAATATGGGTATCTACAGCAAATATAATAATATTTATGGAAGCAAAAAGATCATATCATGAACTTCTTAACTTAATATACCTAAATAACTATAATAAAAAAAGATAACATACTTTGGTAGTAACGAGGGCAGTAATTGTCTATTGTTTACTTAATAGTTTTTATAAAGAAACATAAGGTATATGTTGTTGTGTATACCAAGTCAAATATTTGATATAAAACTGAAATTTAAAGAATTTAAAAATATGTGTAGATTGGTTGCGCATATTTATTGATTGCAGTTTATCCACCTTACAAAAATAAATGTATCAGTATATTTGTTTTATTCCCAGTAAAATATTGAAAGTGTAAAAATGTAAAAATGTGTTAATATCTTAGATACATGTTAAATTTGTCATTATAATTATAGTATTTTTTTTTTTTTACAGTGCATGAGGTCTCAAACTGGAAAGAAGCCATTTCCATGTAAGGCCCATTTAAATTTTTCATGGTTAATGTCAAATTTAAATGTACACATGAGTTCTCGAACGGGAGAGAAACCATATACATGTGAGGTCTGCTCAAAATCATTTACTCTAAACCAGCAACTAATTACTCACATGAGGTCTCACACTGGAGAGAAGCCTTTTTCATGTGAGGTTTGCTTAAAACCTTTCTCTACAAATGGCAATTTAAAAATACACATGAGGTCTCATACAGGGGAGAAACCATTTTCATGTGATGTCTGCTTAAAAACGTTTACTCTAAATCAGCAACTAATAACTCACAAAAGGTCTCATACCGGAGAGAAGCCATTTTCTTGTGAAGTATGTCTAAAATGTTTCTCCACAAATGGCAATTTGAAAGTACACATGAGGTCTCACACTGGAGAAAAACCATTTTCGTGTGAGGTTTGTCTAAAATCATTTACTCTAAACCAGCAACTAATTACTCACATGAAGTCACATACGGGAGAGAAATCATTTTCGTGTGAAGTATGTCTAAAATCATTTCCTGTTAACGGTTCATTAATCAAACACATGAGAGTCCATGCAGAGAAAAAGCCATTTTGTGATCCATGTAAAAAATGTTTTCCCCAAAATGGTCAGCTTGTAAGTCATACAAGAATTCAGGAGGACCCAAGGATGTTAGAGGACAGTGCTAATTGTATGATGTCGACTTACAAAAAATCCTTTAATTTAAACAGTAATATTTATTAATTGACTGTTCAAAACAAAACAATAAATTGTCTATAATATAAGTTTCTAACATTTAATAAAAATAATTTTTGATGCTTAAATATATGTTTATATTTATTAATTAATTTAAAATAATTTGCTAGTGCAAATAATCTATGATAACAATATTGTTAAAATCAATATATTATATTATTTTTACACTTTTTTTTTTATTATTGGAACTATTTGCTTACACAATTTAATACTATTGATATTTTATTTTTTTGAGTTAGAGTTATAAGACATGAATGCATTTTTAATAACTTGTAGTTATAAAATTATATTAAATACCTACTTTRTAACCTACATTCTACACTGGGTGTATATAACCTTAAGTGTAACCATCACAGTTCATATTGGCCTTTGGATTACGCTATGTGTTAGAGCTAATTGTCGGTGACAATATTATGTGCTAATGTACCTTATTTGAATAAAATGTATTCAATATAAATACAAATTTATTATTTATATCTACTTTTTAATTTTCTCAATTTTTTTCAAATAGTATTGTTGTTAATAAATATTAATACTATATTAATAATTAACTACCATGTTTCTGATAATATTTCAAATCTGCTACATTATTTTGATATAATTGTGTRGCTTGATATTCATAACAAGAAAAATATACTGTCTTTAATGAATGATCACAAGGCCAAAATGAACTGCATTAGTTATAACTAACATGACGTGCTTACTGCTTAGGATTTTATAATACTTCTATATGATCTAAGACGTATTGTATATATTGTAATTAAGTTATCCACTGCGTACATCAAATCATTTAGTAATAACTGATCTTGGTACGCATTATTTTAGATAGAACATAACTGTAAAAATATACAGATAAAATATTGAACTCGTGGTAGTTTTAAAGGTTAATATTTTTATTATATTATTGTAGTAAAATCAAAGTGATRTGCAATGTTGCATAAAATATTGGAGTAAGTTTACCATAATCGGTGTTCTGATATTAGTAAAATATKCCACAAATGTTTTGTTTTTAATGGATTGTAATATTGTATAATTTATTTTTATTTTTTTTTTTTTGACATCATTGTAATAATATATTTTCTCAAAATCTAAGATCTAAAATAAAGATATTCCATTTTATTGTAAATAAAATTTACTCTATGTGTAATAAGTATTTAATATTTATGACCATTTTTGATTAAACTATTTAGTTGTCAATTAAAAATGTACCTATCACTTAAAATACTACTTTTTTAGATATTTATTTTTATCATTTCAAATTCAAGCTGAATGAAAAGTGTATTGGTTTTACAATTTTATGTTTTTTTTWWAAATTTTATTAAGAATGGCACTGCAACTATTATAGAACAGACAAAATAAGTTTTTGTACTTAACTATCAGGAATATCATCTAAATTTTTAATTGTTCTTTCATTTTAATTTCTTATAGTACAATCAAAGGCATCCCAAAAGAAAACAAGATTTAAAATATAAACCAATTAATCATTTCAGTTTTATTTAAACATGAATACATATTCAAAATAATTGTTTAATTTTTGTATCAAGAATAGTATTAAATGTGGGGAATAATTAAAAAATTTMATGTTTACATAATCAGAAAAAATTTTAAAACTGTAATCAGCATTACATTTTTTCTCCAACAAAAACCTTTTTTTTGTGGTTTTATTGCTCCAAAACTAATATTTGGATGTTAGCTGGTATTTATACGATAGTACAAACATTCTTTGATGTAAGCCTCACTGAAGTTGTAAAATCATTTTTCCCCAATTTCCTTTTTATTCCATATCACCAATCACTAGTTTGGRCATATAAAACATTCAAAATCAAAAACTGACAGAATTTATAACATTCATTTAAAGAAAATGGTACCTACTCAAGCACAATATAAAAAACTTTTTTTCGGCCAGTCAAACCTAATTAATTTTTATAATCTTTATGAGTTGATTCCTGGCACATGGAATTGAGTTTTGCATACTTATTGAAATGTCTGACATCAATTTGTTTGCATAAGAGTATTTTAATTTTTATAACTAAGATATCGAACATTTTTAAATGTTGCTTAAATATTTTTGAAATAATTATAATAATGTATCTATATTGCCTATACGTTTCGCCGTACAACACGTTATACAGCAAATACGATACGATAAACTGTTGTTGATAATTCAAGTCTTGATAGTTGCTTATTTGA